GGCATTGATGTGACGCGGACTCAACGTAACTATACTAGCAGCAAAAAAAGCACACACAAAAATTAAAAACTAGGTTGGAAAGATTAATAATATAAAGTGCTACATTGAGTTAACTTTTGAAGCTATTTAGATAATGATATAAGTGCCGCTTAATTTAATCCATCATCCATATCAATCATGCAGATTTCTCGCGTGCTTCCTTATCAAACCGATGGTGGATCCGGAGAACGTTCAATTGTTCTCAGACAAACATATGGGGATATTTGCGATGTTGAATTACTAACTAATAAGTTATTCAGTGGCATAAGTCATCCGCAATGTATGTCTCGTAAATCAACAATAAGCGAACTGATCTCGTATGCCTCCCTTTCTGATCAGATAAAATCTCCGTTTGCAAAGTTTGTCCCATTATTTTTATTTCTTTAGTCTAAAGATGGCCAATGAATATATCTACTTACTTGACTCATTAGATGTTCTCTCTGGTATCAGAGGTCTCAAAGCGTTAGTAAAAATGGTTTATAACCTAAAGCGTGGGGCATCCTTGATGATTCATCGCATCGGAAATACTTGGGTATTAAATGAATATGTTATAGACTCAGCCTTTAACCAGGAAGGATATGTAATAAACAAATTATGTTAAATTTTCATTAGATATCCTGGGATTGGTTGCGATCGTTCGTATCAAGGAATATCAATATGCGAGAAAGATTCTCGGGCGATGCTATGCCTAAACTCTATGGGAATCGTGCGAATTTGCTCTGTCACTTGTCAGCTCCTGTTTATTTATTTATTTTTTTAGGCAAAAGGAACCTTATGCTAGCCCTGATTCTTCTTTATACACTGGATTAAAGGCTCTTTCTCTAGACTCCTCATTTTCTTCACGGCCTCTTGATATTGTTCATTCCAACTCTATTTCCAATCATCGATGTCTTTCCTTTCCACTAGAAATAGAGAACAGTTTTATTGCAGTACCCCGCGATGCTTCACCTGATCCACCATATCCTGACAAATATTTACAAGTGTCACAATGGAGGGTTGAAGATTTAAGCCTTTTGGTTGGATCTGATCTGGCAATATTTGGTACAAAGTCTCATCCTTGCATAAGTCTGAAATTAAAGTAATTACATTCTCTTGACGTTTTGTTATATTTAGCCCAGCTTATGAGCCTATAAATGTGTTTACTGGCGCTGATATGTGGTTGGAAAATATTGTCAATGAAGTCCCGGAGGTTGCCATGTGTTTTCATCATGAGGGTATAGTCATGCAAGAATATGAACTCTATAAGACCCATGAAATACCTGAATTGACTGGCTTTCCTGAGCGGGAGGTGTCACTAATAATAAAAAATATTGTAATGTTTTTGAAACGCAACGCAACACAAGAGGGCCATACTTACTGGCTTATCAAGGAACCAGGTCTTGGTTTAGTTAAGCTATATGATCTTACGGAATTATGCAACTTGGATTTTCAAGAAAATAGACAGCACAAGACAGAAGGTATTCTTTTATGTTCCATTAATGCTTTTATTTTGAATCTTTCGACTGGTTATTTTCCGAAAATTTGTTTGGATTTTAATTTAGACCTTAATCCTTTCATACTACCTGTTGCTGCTCTCTGCTATAAGTTGGCTGAACGTCGTGCTGACAAATTATTTTCCAGGGCTCGCCGCATTTCCTGTAGTAACAGCGAATCTCAGACACTAAAAGTATCTCGTAAAAAAAGCAAGCACAGAATTGCCGCAAGTCAAAAAACATGTCGAGAGTCTGATATTGGGGGTCTGTACAATGATGTACTCGAAGATGATC